AACAACAACAACAACAACAACACACACACACACACACACACACACACATATATATACATATATACATACCCACACGCACATAACACCTACTCCCACACTACCTTTGTGTACAACTTATCCTGACACGACACGAGATAGGCTATCTTGCTGCCCTGCTCATCCCGTTTGGTCTGTGACAGCATGTGCTCCATCGCCTGCTCCGTCAAGAACTCGCAGATGGGCGGCACTGTGAAGGTCACGCGTTCCAACCTGCCCTCTCGCACCACCTCTATGTGCCGCGTGCAGGACTCAAACCAGCGCAAGGCCGGCTGTGGGCGTGTGTGTGTTTGTGGGGGGGGGGGGGGTAGACGAGGATGAGAATAAGAATAAGAAGAAGGGGGGTATAGACTGGTTAGGGTTTGGGGTTTTTATACTGAATTCAGGTAAAGTAGGGGACACGAGGTAGAAACGGGTGGCGTGTTACGAGTCTGTGAAATCCATTCAGTTATACACAGATGTTGTAGGGGCTTAGGGTTTAGCCTAAAACAAATACAGACCCACCTGATCATCTGCCAGAGTAACGGCTACAGCGGGTATGGTATAGGGGATCTCATTGACAGAAAACGCCTTCTTGTACTAACACAAACACACACACAGACACAGGCACAGACACAGACACAGACACACACAGACACGCACACAGAATCAGACACACACGCACACACAGACACACAGACACACAGACACACACACATATATATATTTGTTTATACGAACACATATATGTATATCTCTATGTCTCCGTTCCCCTAACATCTACACCTTTGCCCACCCACCTGGTCGTCGGCCAGAGCGGTAGCTACGGCTGGTATGAAGTTGGAGATCTCATTCACTAGTAGGTACACCTTCTTGCCCACCTCCAGGATGTCGTCTTTGGAGATGCCACTGATCGGCTCTGCGTCATAGCTCATGTACACGTCCCTGCAGGCGTAGGTGGTTGAGTTTAGGGTTTAGGGTTTGGAATCAGGAATACAGAAACTCGGGGGTTGAGGTTATTCATTTGAAGGATTGTGGAGCTTAGAAACATAAAGTGTTGTCTGTTGATATATACCTCACACAGACTGCACATGGTAGTCTACACGTAAAGCCGAGCAGAGGGAGGTACACTACACTTGCATATGTTATTATGTAGATAGATGCCAATACACACACACATATATACATATATACTCGAATCTGAAGTGTGTCATATTGTTAGCTTGTCTTGCTATATGCCACTATATATACACACACACACACACACACACACACACACACACACACACACACACACACACACACACACACACAC